TAATAAAAAGCATGTTTTATCCTAATGCAGTAGCCAATATATTATCTGACAAAAAATACATACTCAGGAATTTTGAAAGCAAACCATGCAAGCAGAGTGGCACCTTTTATGAGTTTCAATTCAGACACAATTCTTCAAAAATTTAATCCCTATATCCTATAACCAACTATCGAAATATACGATGGTTTTTAAACTCTGTGCTCTGAGCATCTCATAAGATTTTTATTTATATTTTTGAATTGGGCGACTACTACTCAAAATCAGGCAATTGTTTGGGATTAAATGCAGTTATGGCAATTTATTAGCTTGAAACAGGAAAGCACTATCAATTTAGATAACTTTTTCTTCTTGATAATACCAGGTCAGCTATCATACTGTTCAGATGGTTGTCATGTTTTCCCATCAAAATAAAATCACTATTGAAACAGCATGCAGCAGTAACAGATCAGAAGCAAATTTTCATAAATGCTATCCAACATTAAGAAAAACTTCTTTGTTAATCAGATTATACCTTCAGTGTCACCTTATTTGCTCACCAGTTTTATCCTTGACCTGTATGGATTAAAATCAGTAACATTATAAGAATTTCTATTTGGAAGTAAAGGGTTAAATATAATGTTTTTTGGTTTTTTTTTTTTGATAAATAAGAAAACTTTATTAAAAAAGCATCAAGTTGATGCAAAGAGTTAAATATAATGTGAGAACACTAGATAAACAAAATTATTCGAGACTTCCATCCAATGGGAACTAAACTGGGTGTACCATTTTTTTAAAACAGAAAAAACAAATGGATCAAAAGGCTTATCACTTTTATTAGTTTCAGTGTCATGCCCCTGATTTGATTAAAATACACACGAAAATTATTGAGGCAATTAGAAAGAAGTTTCAATGTACAACATTGCATTTAGAACTTAACCAGAGAAGTGTCCATGCTTCTCAGCATAGCACTGTAGAACTGTGATTATTACATTATCACAACTTAACCAAGCGCACAAAAACCATTATCAATTACAATGGTGCAATAAACAAACAGATTCTGCATGGAGTAAAAGAACTCAAGGGTACCAAATTACGTTAGTTAGGGCAGAACGGTGGAAAAATAGGTATGCCATTAATTTCTCATGGATGCTGCAATAAGATGAGGATTATGTAAAACTTCAGCAATCTAACACTCTACTCAGCCCCACTGTAGCCTTCAACATCAATGAATATTTACTATTCCTTCATAAGCTTTAAAGTGTATACAGAGTAGTTATACAACGATATTGTCATCACAGCAAGAAACTTACAGTGCGCTGCCCTGAAATGATTTTAGACATGTGACTTAGTTTGAGGTGTTTCTCCTCTTTCCCCGAGAACCATATTAGTACACATTCATCCTGAAAGCAATAACACCACAGGTTCTAAATAATTTTAGCAGTGAAACTCTACTTTCAGTTTGACAATAACACAACTAATGGCAGGTGATTGAGTATTAAAATAATTTGAAAATGAATATAAAAGTAAGCATATACATAAGACAATATATATAGGAGGAAATACCTGTATCCTGTATTACATAAAGTCAAAATTAAAATAAAACACAATTCATCAAGCATAAGCATTCAATTTTCTGACAAGCCAGTTTAGGGGGAGTGATTCAACAACCTATTTTGCAATTAGGCAAGGAAATAAGGTGTTAAATGGTGGGAGTGAAAGCACAACAAGTTCACGTGACTTGTGAGCATAAATATTTTATTTGGCATGATAGAATGTGATTGCCAACCAGAGAAACATGGTGTACAAAACAGCTACAGAAGGTAATTCACTACGGAGGTTAAAGTTACAACCACCAATCAACATGAAGATTTATTTCTATCCCAGTAACAATGAATAAGAAAAATTGCCAACATAAGCCAGTTGAGTAGTTATAATTAACCTGCATAACAACCAGTTAACATAAAAGCTACTGAATTTTAAACATATCACACCTTGTTTTTGTTTTTGCCTACATTTTGGGTGTGTTCATAAGCAAGATTTCAACCAAATAGTACTGTGCAAAAAAAGCGTCTTAATATAAATTATCAAAAACAGAATAATTATAAGAAATGGTCCTCGGTTCCAGTCAAGATTAAGATGTTAGCAAGATCACAAACATTTATGGGTATAATAGTTGCCATTGCTGATTAAGAAACAAGCTACTGAATTTACAAGTATCACCTTGTGTTTGGACTACAGTATCCCGCATGCATTCACAACAATACTCCGACATTTTGACAGGTGACTGACAAATAGTTGCATAAAGACGTAACTAATCTTTAGGTCACTATAATACTAGTATGGACATAAATAATGATATATCAACTACAAATTCTAGAACTTAAAAATAACATAATAATAAATTAAAAGCTCCAGGTTATCATTACATACATACATACATAGAAATATAGATACATACATATATACATACCAGAAGTGCTAGACCCCCATGACCCCTACGGAGGGAGGGGAGAGAGAGAGACAGGAAAAATATATTTTCAGAAGACAACCTCGTAATTATAGTGAAATATAGAGAGGCTGGTGAAGAGGGACTGGCCACTATAAGCTCACAATTGTAAATATAGTCAGCATATCTTTGTTTGCTCATAAATAATCAAGAAGAGGGACTGCCCACTATAACTGAAGTACCCCTGAGGATGGCAAGATCTTTCAATCAGAAGGTAAATGAACAAGCAAAGTCATGAGAATCATGTGGAATGTATTTTCACTTCTCAGTTAAATTAGGCTACCAATAAATGAAATTACAGTTTTTTTTTTTTATTAAAAAAAAAACAAAAAAACCATCTCCAAAAATAAAACAAGAATAAAACCGTATAGTACTTTTAGCATGACTTTCAAATCAAGCCAAAATGTGTTTATTAGATTCAGAGATGTGTTGGAGTCATCTCTCCACTAACATACATTGTGATGTTCAAAAGAAGCAAAAATTGAAAAGAAAATAGGAACAAACCTCAGGCCCAAGAAATTGTTCATAGCCGATATCACAAGAGTATGGTGCCCGTCCTTGGTTTGATTCCTTTATATTGCTTGATGTATTTAGCTAGTTCTCTGTCATACTTATTGAACTCCTAAAATCATAGAATAAAAAAAACTTATCATTAGAATAATGCTGGATTAAATATTTCAGATTCATATGAATATAAAATTCTGAAAACAATATATTTTAAACATATCATGCTCAGCACAGAGCATGAATTTGTTGACTAATAATTTTCCAAAGTAATGAAGATAGTAAATGACTACCTTGACAATATAGGAACTAGTGTAGCAATATGTTTCCTTCACTTTTCAAGCTACTTCAAAGGAATCTTCTGGCGGAACATGCTCTCCTCTTTCCTACAAGAACAATGTCAAAATCAAAACCCTTGATTTTACAAAAAAATCAAAATCAATTTCTAGTCTTAATTGATAGTTTACAGATATTGTTTTTGAGGTGCATACTGGTTTTCAATTTCTAAGAATGATAGAAATTGTCAAAAAAAAATATATCAAAGATTTTTTGTAATCAAACATAGTAACTCAAAATCAAAATCATGGGTTTTATTCAAGATTATTTTCACCGCTTAAAAAAATTCAATCAATTCGAGGATACGCAATAAACAGAATAAATGAAAGAAAAAGATTATCATACCTGCTTCTATTGTTGCCACCGCTTCCAGTGCTTCCACTATCAAAGTAATGAAGAAATTTGGGCTTGGCATTAAATCAAGTAGAAATGTTCTACAAATTGACCAGGAATGTTTGACTAGGAATGTTAGGCCCGGCAATAAAATTTCAAGAATGTTGGACCCAACATAAAAATTGAGCTATACAAAATGGAATAGTTAAGCAGAAATTTCCTCACAATCTACGACATGAATAAATTGTGCCTTTGCACTATCAAGTGGAAAGCAACAGTACAGATCACAGATTGCTTTCAAAAGGATAACCTAAAAAAGGCATGAAAACCACATAAAAATTAAGTCTTTGGCATCCACAATTGACAACAATTGAAACTAGTAATCTCAAAACTTCATGGACAACAATTTAAGAAAATTAAGTACAGCATAACATCTTCACCAAATTAGACTGAAACACTGACCATTGAATCTAATTGTCATAAAAATCTACTAAACATGAATTCTTCAGGTGTTGCAAAACAGAGAGAAATATAGAACAATCTCAAATTCCATAAAAGCAAACCAAACTATGATGATATTCACTAACCTTATGTAGCAAAGCTTCTCTTTGATATCCCTAACAAACTCAAAGTCAGCAATCTTACTCACCATACCTTCACAAAAGACTCTTGTACTCCAATCAAAACAAAAGCAATTATTGTGAAGACAATTAATGGGAAAAAAAAAATACAATATATTTGTATAAACAGAACAAAAATCTAGATAAAACACTATAAAGAGAACACAAATAAAAGCAAAGTGGAAGTCAAAATCTTTTTACCTGTTTTGTCCCAAACTAGAGGATCAATAAAGGGGCCGATCTCAATAGTTCAACCCATTACCTCTTATCACTAGTCCAATATCCAGATCTCACAATGTGTGATCAATAAGAGTTTTAAACTTGGAAATAAAAAAATAAAAACTAATTTCTTTAGATCTAGATCAAGCTTTAACAAAATGAGGTACAACAGATTTCATTAACTAAGCTTTTGCTAAATCAAGTGCAGGAAGAAGTGTGAGCCCACATTTTATTTATCTTAACAATGAAATCTAGAGCACAAGACAAGCATGCACATAAGAACACAGTTTTTTAATTGATGACATATGTTCTTCAAAGTCAAGAATTAACACATGAACTTCATGTATGCCTCTGCACATTTCATATCATCATACAAAACATAAAAAATGTATGGTATCTTCTAGAACAGGATTCAACAAAACCACAAAGCTTAAAAACCTTAACAATCAAAATGAACTGCCTTAGCTGTCCTACAAAAGCGTTGGTCTATCACATTTTACATAGTAATTCAATAAAATCTTGTTTACAAGTTTCAAGTGGAGCCCTTTCCAATCTCCATCCATCTGTTCTGCCCCTTTACATGCCATCCACTAGTTTCAAATAAAGATAGACAAGTGAAATAAGAAATTCAATAGGCCTAATATGAACTCTAGAAAAGCCATTGTTATAAATGCTTCTTTTTTTTATTATTTATATATGATCATGTAGACATTAGATTAACAATACTATAATAACATATGACACCTGGACATCATATAACTGTTCCAACAATTTATTTCAGCCACTAACATGTGAGAAAATAGCATTTACTTTTCTCTTATAAATGAGGAAGTCCCACTAATATGCTATTAGTTCTTTACTTGTCACTTTGTTGGCAAATATTTTCAAAAGACGTGCATTTGATTAGAGTCTAAACTAGAAGCAAAAGTTGTGAAGCAAATTGATCATTATTTTGTCAGTAATCAATAATGAGATTTCTAGATAGCTCAATTGCCTACACTACATCTATATCAGTCTTCATCACTACTGTCAACTGATTAAACCAAACTGGAATTCAAAACCCAACAGAGTTCCAATCTTTAAAAAGAACAAAAAAAAAATATACAACACAAATCTGACTAATTGTAAGTTATATAGAGTTGACCAATTCAGATGAATTGAGACTAGCATTTATTTATATTAAAAAAATATATAAAATGGCAATTACATAGAAGAGAGAAGACATATAGAACAGAACCTCTTCAACTGCCTTCTCTCTAAGGCTTCCCCCAATTCTCAATCCTTATTTGCACAAACGAAAATCAACAACCAAATCAACATTGTAAGCCCAAACACAACACTAAAAATAGAGAAAACAAATTATTATTTTTAAATATTCTGGGAATAATTACCAATAAATGTAAAAGCGATGATGATCGAGGCTTCCATCAATGCATCGCCAAAGCCCTAATGCGGGAATCAGGAAGAAGAATGAGTCATCTCTATATCCCTCTCTCTCTCTCTCTCAAACTCTCGACGTCATCAACTTGAAATGCAAGAAACTCAGTGATTTTTCTAGATCCGTTTTCCATCAAAATAACTTTAAGGAAAGAAAACACATACAGATCTTTCGTAACCATGGAAACTTCTCTGTATTTCTTAACCAAATTAATTTTTAATTTTTTGAAAATATTTTTAAAAATCAAACCATATAAAACTTAAGAATTTTTTGATAAGTCATTTCTTACGTTGATAACTTATTTAATTATTTGTTAATTTCACGATATTTTTACCATCTGAAACTTGTTTGGTAATCATTTCATTTTCAGTTTTTAATTGTCAATTTATATTTACAAAAATTTAAAAAATTATCATAAAAATTTGTTTGATAATTTTTTTGGTTTATAAATGGTTGTATCAGTTTGTAAATTTGAGAAAAAAACATAAATTCAAAAAATGAGCTTACATTAGTTTTTAAACAGAAATTTAAAAATTTTTCTAACAAATTTTTTTTTCAATTAATTTTTTTTTTCAAATAATTTTTTTTCCAATTAATTTTTTTCAATTAATTTTTTTTTCAACTAATACTAACCGAGGGGGCAATTGGTAATGCTACTTTAAACCTTAAGGAGGGGACTGTAATTTCTAAAATGTGAGGGATGTCAATGTAATTTACCTAGTGAGGGCAAAATTGGTACTTAAAAAAATTAAATTGCTAACGGGGAATCTGTAATGAAACTTTAAACCTCATGGAAAAAATATAATTTTCAAAAGGTGAGAGAGAAACTGTAATAAACATAAACCTCAAGAGGTATTAGTATAATTTATCCAAAAATCAAAAAGCAGCTTTTTAACTATCTTTTCAAAACAACCTGACTCAAAATAAGACATTTGAAAAAAAAGAGAGAGCGCGCGAGAGAGTTGGACATTTGTAGGTGTTTTTAAATGCCCTCTCTTATAAAAATAGTGTCGTTTTATTTTTAAAAAATTGTGACGTTTATTAAACGTCGTTAAATATTAAAAGGATGACATTTAAAAAACGTCATTAAATAAGTGCCGTTAAATCTCACTTTTCTTGTAGTATTTAAATGGATTGCCAGCAATCCCATCGTTCGAGTCCGGGTGGTTTCTTTTTTTATCGTCAACACCTCCAGTCATTGTTACCCGAAGAGATATATCTATATATATAAATAAAGTAGAAGCTGGGAATGGTGGCAATGAGTTTGATTAGAGGTGCAAGACTGACTCCGGTGATATCTCTTATAGCCCAGATAGATCTCTCTATTTATAAGTGAATGGAAAATCAGGTTTTGACACTTTCTAGGAAGCTGAATATATGACTTCCCAACTCTAAGTTGAATATAAGTGAATGTAGTATTATGTGGGTAGACTTCCAATCTTTATTAAGCTTATTGTAATACTTTTGCACTTACTTTCTTTACTGATATATTTTGTTTATACCTTGTACTTTGCTCGTACATCAATAAAGCCTTTTTTTTGTCAATCAAAAAAAAAATGTGGGCAGACTTCATCCCTGGTTGATTGTATTAGGGGAAGTTTGGTTTGTGGAATTTTTGTTGGAAGGTATGCACGTGTTTGAAATTTGCGGTTACTGACCTCCATTTACATATTGCTCATTTGAATTGGTAGTTAAAGAAGAAAAAATGGTAATTTAAGAATTTAAAAAAAAAAAATTAGCACGGTTGATACCAACTTAAATGTCTATATTATACCATAGAATAGATATTAACTACGGTGTAAACCTGATTCTTTGTAAGTGTATATAATTTTATTATTTTTTTTTAAGATTTAATAAATGAAGAAAATGATTGAACATGAAAACAATTTAGAGCAGTTTGAAAATGATTTAAAATAATTACTAATTGTGAAATTTACAGTTAAACAATTTGAGAAACATTTTTAGAAAATAAAAAATGTGACAAACTTCATCTTCTGTGTTGGGAAAATGATATATGGCCCAAGCATCAACTGTTCTTTAATTCTTTGGGAAAATGTATCGGTTTTTTATTTGTTACATATTTATTATAGGATAAATTACACTGATAGTCCTTACATTTTATCCCTTGTGCCATTTTGACCTTGTGTCATTCAAGGTCAAAATTGAGCTAATTAAAATTACAGAGATCAAAATGATACCAGGACTAAAGTACAAAGATTACTATCATAATTTGGCCTTAATTATATATGGCCTAGAAACCAACTAGGTCTGGCCTAGTTGGCCACCATACCTTCCATAAGGCTTAGTCCCAAAGAGGTCATGAATTCAACTCTCCTTAAGGAAGATTGAATTAAAGGAGTGCAAGTACTTAGGTGTTTTGTCAAGGGTGGAGAAATTTTCTCCCATAAGTACTAATCCGACAACTAATAACTAACATTTGCCAATAAAAAAAAAAATTATATATGGCCTAGAACTCTGATCACTTTCTTTTGGATGAACTTGTGAATTTATAGAATCAACTTTCCTAATTTAATATGAAAATGCCTTGGACCCCCAGTGGGGGTGACCCCCACCATCCCTACTGTTTTTTGATTGGCTCAAATTGCTTTTTTTTTTTTGGTCTTGCTGTGAGAGAGCCCCACGTGGAGTTAGGGGTGCTGGGGGGTCACCCCCCACTGGGGTCCCCAACACTGCTGATTTAATATATGCCACCTCAGTTGGCCTTCATAGTCTTACGTATCATTTTTCTTTTTCTTTAAAAAAAAAAAAATCTAATGTATCAAAGTGATATGATAAGAGTCTCTCCAATCGTTCACCTTTCATCAAATTTAAATTTTATGAAAAAACATTTAAAAATTATCTCCAATCCTTTTTTCAAATATTCATCAAATTAAGGGAGAGACATTGTTTTCATAAATTTTTCCTCAAATTTGAATTTAATGAAAATTTAAAAAGATGATGTATTGGAGATAATCTTGTTTAATCAAATTTGATGAAAAGTGAAATTTGGGATAACGTAAGAATTTTTAAAAAGATTTTGATAAAAATACAACAAAAGGATTGAAATAATTCATATCAAATCAAATTTTTTTAGTCAAATTTAACAACAAAAAATGATAAAATAAAATAAAAAATAGTAAATGGTTGGAAATGGTCTAAGGGTTGGTACTCTTTTTTCATAAGCAACAACTGGCTGTCATGGATTGGATAAGCAAATATGTAAACCCCTTTTTTCACTTCATTTTTTGCCAAGCTGATTGGATCGAGATAGTTAATATCAGAAGAATCTTGAAGTGTTTTGAACTCATATCGAAACTGAAGATAAAATTTCACAAAAGCATGGTAGCAGGAGTCGGGATTGATAATGATCTCTTAAACAATTTTGCC